CCCTAGGTTGTGACAAGTTGGCAGTTAAAATAACCAGTGCAGGAGGTAATGTGGGGTGCATGCACTGTCACGGGTCAGAGCAAAGCCAGGAAAAGTTGAAGAGAGGGGAGGCGAATGAGAATATTGTATGGGCGTGGAAGACTGTCCCTGACTGGGTGACCAGTGTCCCCGCAGACCCTGCAGGAAGGCTTGCCTGTCTGGGGGAACACACCTGAAGCCACTCTGCTACCCCATCAGGGATTTCCCTGCCAGGTTCCCTTGCACTAGTCTCTAGATTGTTCTCCAGGCGGCCTGTTGCCCTAACTGCCCACAAGTGATCACACACACAGTGCTCACACCCAAGGACGCCAGGGTGGATGTTTCTGGGGGTAGCTAGAACACCTTGCTGCCCTGCTGGCCTGCTGCTTCCCAGCACTAATATGGGCCTTTGCAACCCAGGGCGTCACTGGGACAACAGACTTCCCAGAGATGCTTATGCTGCTGTCCCTTGAGGGTGCTATGTGGATTAAAATACATATATTAATCTAGATTCTAAGATGGCTATTTTATTTGAACTTTGGCAGATGAGTTTGGTTAATAAACCCGTAAGCCATTTATTGTTATAAATTCACAGATTCCCAAAACATCCCTGAGGGAGAGCCAGGGAGTTGGTCCCTCATGTAGAACTGAATACAAAATTCAGCAGGCTAGACAGCAGTGGTTAGGTACCAGTGTTAGTTCCATCTTTACTCAATAAAAAGGTTGAATGTAAGTTGCTTTGAAGCCTTCTACAATTCATACATCAGGAATGACCCTATAGCAAGGAGTGGTGCATACCTGCAGGCCCAGCAATTGGGAGGTGGAAGGAGATGGGTCATAAATTCAGAGCCATCTTGGGCTACACAGTGAGAACCTTCCTTAAGTGGAGGGAGGGCCTTCTAGCACTCAGCACAACTGGGATGTTTGTGCAAGTCCCACAGAAGTTTAATTTCTGGTTCTCTAAGTATTGAGTAAATGTGTCTGTAGCCAACATTCAGGCTAATTCCCTAGGCAAACCCAATCCTGTTGTGGGACAAAGGCTGCAATTGCAGAGAATAAAGAAGGCCTGCTTCTTTTGCCCCTCTCTACCTTTTGTCCTGAGTCAGAAGACCCAGCTAAACCACAGGCTGGAGAGATGGCTCAGTGGTCAGGAACACTTGCTGGTCATTCAGAGAACCCGGGTTCGATTCCCAGCACTGACATGATGTTTCACAAACATCCCTAACTTTGGTTCCAGTAGATCCAAAACCCTCTTTGTTCCTCTGAGGGTACTGGACATACACATGGTGCACATACATCCATGCAGACAAAATACTCATACATATAAAATATAATCTAAAAAAGTAGAGGTTTTGATGGTAATGGTAGAGGTCTGTTCATAGAGGAGGGCGTTGGGCAGGGTCACTCCTGGGACATGCCCTTTTTTATAGCCCAGGGACAGGGAGAGAGTGCACAGGAACATTGAGGAGAAGGCTAGAGGCAGGGAGCAGGAGGGGGGAAATCTCCAATAGCCACCAGAATGAAGAGCCCCAGAAATCCCCTGCTGCCACATCCATGTTACACCTATACGGTGATCAGGCAGGACTGCAGCTGGTAAGGGACACCCATGTGGCCCACTTACCTAGACTTTTATATTCTGCTCCCCACCCCTCACTTTGACAGGGTCTCATGGAGTCAAGGCAGATCTTGAACTCCAGATCTTCCTAAGAAATAACACAAACTCACGACTGCCAGCCCCTTGGCTGCTGTCTTTCCCTGTCCTAGAAGTGAGGCAGAGCATGCCACTAGCTAGCTTCCTAGACGCCAGATCCCTCTTCTCTACCAAGACCCCGCAGAGGTGCAGGGACCACACATAGTACGTCCTCTTTGCTGGTTTTCCTCTCCCTTTTTAAATTTTTTATTATTTATTTTATGTTTTAGCTGGTCCGTTTGTCGCCCCCCCCCCCAAGACAGGGTTTCTCTATATGTAGTTCTGGCTGGCCTTGAACTCTGTCTGCCTCTGTCTCCCAAGTGCTAGGATTAAAGGTCTGCTGTGCCACCACTGTCTGGCTTTAGCTGGTTTTCTCTTTCTCTCTTTCTTTGACGAATATATATATCACATATATTTATTTATTTCTGCCTGAATATATGCACCAGATCTCATTACAGATGGTTGTTAGCCACCATGTGGTTGCTGGGAATTGAACTCAGGGACCTCTGGAAGAGCAGCCAGTGCTCTTAACCACTGAACTACTATCTTGCAGCCCTAGCTGGTTTTCTTAATGAAGAGATGTTCTCCAGAAATCTGGAGCACCTGAGATTCATAAGGGACTCTAGTGACATACAATAGCACTTAACTTCATTATTACACTGCCGTATGAAGCAATCTGTTAGAAATTATCTGAGCCGAGTGTGATGGTACACACCTTTAATCCTAGCACTTGAAAGGTTTGAAGCCAGCCTGGTCTATAGAGTTAGTTCCAGGATATCCAGGGCTACATAGAGAATCCCTGTCGTGGGCATGGGGAAATCTGAACTCCAAGATCTAAGCACAGGCAACAACTTTTGGAACAGGCCTCCAATACTTCATGAAATAATAGTAAGAACCAAAAAGCAAGATTGCATCAAATAAAAAAGCTTCTGAAAGTAAAAGAAACAATTATCAGAATAAAGAGACAGCTTACAGATGGAAGAAAATCTCTTTCAGCTATTCAACTATCAGAGGATAATATATATCTTATTTATTTATTTATTTTGTTTTTTTGAGACACGGTTTCTCTGTATTGCTTTGGAGTTTGTCCTGGAACTCGCTCTATAGACCAGGCTGGCCTTGAACTCACAGAGATACTCCTGCCTCTGCCTCCCGAGTGCTGGGATTAAAGACGTGAGTCACCAATGCCTGGCATATCCAATATATATATATATATATATATAACTGAAAAAAATCCAAAGAATAAACAATGCAACCAACAAATGAGCAAATGAACAGATACATCTTAAAAGATGTGCAAATTGACAACAAATGCATGAAAAATATTTGACATGAAAAACTGATTTCTGTATCCATCAGAGAAATACAAGTCTAAACACCAACATTTCACCTCAGTGAGATGACCATCATCCGAGAAAACAGCAAATTCTGGCAAAGATGGGTGAAAGGAAAGTCTTAAATACTGTCGGTGGGAACACAAACCAGTTAAACCACAATGTCAGTCAGTATGGAGGTTACAATCTGACTACGCCACTCCCGGGTGTGCACCCTAAGGAATTAAACTCAGCATACTGAATACGCACCCATACTTGCTGAGGTGACAGGCACAAGAACCAAGTTATGGAGTCAGCTTAGCCACTTATCAACAGATAAATGGTTAAAGAAAAAATGTGTACGCATACACAGTGGAGTATTATTTGGTCACAAGGAACAAAATTATGTCCTTTGCAGGAAAATAGGTGGAACTGGAGATCACTGTGCAATGTGCAACATAAGTCATACAACAAATCCTACATCTTTTTTTTTTTAAAGATTTATTTATTATGTACACAGTGTTCTGTCTGCATATGTCCCTGCAGGTCAGAAGAGGGCGCCAGATCTCATTACAGATGGTTGTGAGCCACCATGTGGTTGCTGGGAATTGAACTCAGACCCTCTGGAAGAGCAGTCAGTGCTCTTAACCTCTGAGCCATCTCTCCAGCCCAAATCCTACATCTTATCTCAGCTCTGATAGAAATTTAAAAAAATCACCCACCCCACCCCAGACCTTAGGTGTGGAGCACATGCCTTTATTTCCCAAAGCAAGCGGATCTCCAAATTCAAGGCTGACTTGACCTGGTCTATATAGAGTTTCAGATGAATTTGGAATACATAGTGAGACCTGTCCAAAAAGAAAAAAAAAACATAACAAAGAAGGCAGACTATTTCAGAAGGAGCCAGCAGAAAGGGGGAGAAGAGAGACAACAGAAGGTAATAAGGGGATGAATATAATTAAAGTACATTACAAGTATGTAGTATGTATACAAATGTCAAAATGAAATACATTATTTGGGGGTCTCATGTATACCAGGCTGGCCTTGAACTATACAGTGAAGAATGACCTTGACCTTCTGACCCTCCTGCCTCTCCCTCCTGAGTGCTAGCATCACACAACCAACTACCATGCCTGTTTTATGCAGTCTTGGAAACTGCACTCTAGACAAGTACTCTACCAACTGAGCTACATCTCCAGACCCTGTTGTTTTTTTGAGACAGGGTCGCAATCCGTAGGCCACCTTGAACTCATGGCAATCTATCTGCTTCTGCCTCTAGAGTGCTAAGTCAACAGGCATGAGCATGTCATTAGTAAGGACAATAAATATACATTGTTAATAAATTAAAAAAAGAACTCCACATGCTAGTGAGATGCCTCAGTGGGTAAAGGTGCTTGAGGCTTGTCAAGCAAGCCTGGCAGCCCAAGTCCAAACCAACCCAGGGAAGGAAAGGAACTCATGAAAGTTGTTCCCTGCCCCCCACACGGAGGCATGTCTGTGTTTCCCCCCACACCTAATTCAAGTCAGCACTTGTACTGAAGTATCTCTTTCCAGACACAACTGACCATAACATATATGCTCAATAACACCTCTCACCTTTGAAGGGGTGGACGATGATCCACTTGCCTGCTTCTCTCTTGGAAAAACTACTTTTATAAACTTTATCTGCTAATGAGCAGCAAGGGAGGATGCGGTTGTCACTGGACTTGTCTTCTGAAGGACCTATCTTCCGTCCTTTACAGCCTACCTTTACCTCCGAATGTTTAAATCACATTTTTGTTTGTATGGGGGAATTGGTTCTCTCCCTCCACCATGTGGGTCTCAGGGATTGAACCCAGGTGATTAGGCTTGGCAGCAGGTACCGTTACCAGCTGAGCCATCCTGATTGTCTACCTCTTTGACGTTCAAATCTGTGTCAGGTCTGGCTGCCAAACACAAATATTGCCAATGTATAAATAAAGAGCCATTCACATAAGGAATGCACTAATAAAAATTTAATATCATAAAACAAATCAAAAAACAGCAATTTTTAAACCATTCACAATTAAAGTGGAGACAAAATTATAAGGCAGCCATCCATGGAATGAGTTTATGTGTACAAAGGATCCAGAGAAAGGGACATTTGAAATCACCATTCAGGCCACCAAACCAGGAGAACTGTGGTGTTACCACCCCATCAGACTCCCAGCTTATAGGAAGACACCACCAGACAAAGCGACGAAGTCGGTCTCTGTGTTTAGCAGCTGTGTTGGACCAGTATGCCTAAAGAAGACATACAACATGTCTGCCAGTCCTTCCCCCAGCCACACACCTTCAGGTCTGCCTCCAGAGCTGAACTGCAAGGTCTCAAATACAAAAAGGCTGCAGTTGTATAGCATCTCCAGCAGTGTTCTTCAGGGGCAAGGCCCATTCTGCCCTGAGCAGAAATCTGCTGCTGCTGCTGAGGGTGTCCTCCTGTGCTGCAACAGTCGGGGGCTCTGGCCCAAAGGCGAGTATGTTAGAGGTTTGTGCTGTTGCCATACCGTTCCCATGTTCAGAGCTTCGCTACCATGAGTTTCAGGGCTCAACACAATCTGTTGCTGCTGTCCCCTCCTAGCTCTGACCCTTGGAAAGAGAACCCGCCAGTGACGCACGGTTTTGTTTCTTAAATCTCTTTTCTCCTTTCTATAAGAAATGATACCTCCGAATGGCCCTCCCTTTCTTTTTCTAATGATTCAAGACCCCAGGGCAGGCTGTTGGCTGTCTTTAACTGAGAAGTCTGGGGAATAAGGTGAAATGGGAGCACACTGCCTCGGTTGGCGGTACTGTCCCAACTGCTGGCATTCCAGGCCATAATGTCTGCCTGTAAGACACAAGCTGGCAGCAGTCCACACAGGGGAGCAGAATCAAACAGGAACACTGCTGCACCACCACGGAGACTGACAACACCGGGGAGCCAGGGACGGGAGTGGGTCAGTATTTTCAACCTAAATTTACCTTTTAAGAGCTCGCTTGGAGTCTGTACATCTATGTCTCCCAGAGAAAGGGGCTCCAATTGCAATTAAGACTGCTTTGGCTATGAGGAAGGATGGCCCATGCTTTTTATCAATTACTTCTTTGGTAGCCCATAGTTTCACTGGTAATCAGCTGAAGTATCATCAATGTGTTCAAATGTGTTATTGCATTAAGGCATCCGAACCTCCGAAGGGAGTTTTAAGGAGGAAAACAATTGAAACATGTTGGAAAGTGAACATCAAGGCGGCCTCTCCGAGGGCACTGCCCACCACGTGAGCAACCTCTCAGACTTCTGCCCAGCTGCATGGCTCCTGCTGCCTGAAATGCATTTGAGCCCTATAGAGATTCATATGGCTATGTGAGGCTGCTGACCAGGGAAGGGATGGGCAGGCCCCAGGCAGCAACTCAGGGCCTCGGAAAGGTCCCAGCTTTGGAAAGCTCATTACTACTGAGGTCTGGGGGCGGGGCGGGAAGTGGGGGGGGCGGGAGCCCAAATTTAGAAGTTTGATGGTTCAGTCCTTGCCAGAGTCCAAGGCCCTACTCAGCAAGATAGTCTAGTCAAGCTTCTAAGTGCGACAGCAAGGCACTGCTGCTGAAGAAGGTTCTGGTCAGCTCAACAATCCCTGACCACTGCATGTAGCAAGATGACAGAAGTTACTTCTACCAGAACCAAACAAGACACAGACACTGGCTGTTTACTTGACACTAAGTTTCTAGAAAGTATCACCACAGCTGTACTTTGGAAGGACTCGATGAGACCGAACCTTTGCCAAGACAGCTGTTTGCGCCTATTCAGGGGTCACCCAGAGTCCCCCACTGCGTGCCTTCTCAATTTAACCTGGGATGCAATGGCTACCAGCCTCCGCACAAACCGTACCCATTCTGCTACGTTCGTTCCTCACTGCAGCCAGCAGAGGGCTCGCAAGTTTAATTCCACAGCTGCTGACCCAGTGACAATTAGGAGAGAAATAAAGGAAACCAAAGGCATGCTGGCATAGGTGTCATAGAAAAATACAAACGACTGTACCCACTGCTCTGAAGAAATTAGTCTTGGCTCTCTCTTTATGTAAAGTGTTTTTGAAATGGTACAGAAAATATAAATTAATACAGTACTATACACTTATCTGACAAAACAGGATTTAGGCAGATTTTGGCAAACAGGAAAAATTTGTTGAATACTTTCGCTGTCTCAACTGCTTAAATGATCAGAGTACCATCGATGTGACAATCACACATGAGGAGGTGACTTTTTTAAGGGCTTGATAAAGCTGCATTTGACACACCGGTAACTCATTGAAGGAAATGAAGTCTAGGGACAGTGCTGTCTTCATGGCCATGGTTCAGAAGTGGCTGTCCTGATGGAAATGCATCTCTCACAAGTACTGACATCAGCTGGGACAGAAAGCAGGACAAGGGGCGTGGGGAGGGAGGGGCAGAGCACAGCCCAGGGAGAGGAGGACGCAGACATGATTGCAAGGAGCTTGAGGCCAGCAGCAGACACTCCCTTCTGACACTCCTGCTGCCGCCTGCACAGGAGCCCATGAGCCCACAGAAACACTCTCCACTCTGGACAAGGCTTCCCAAAGGACCGCTGCTAAGAGGATGGCGCTAGGAGAAACACTTAGACCAGCAGTTCTCAAGCTGTGGGTCGTGACCCCCACAGGGGCTGCGGGACAGGTTTCAGTTCACTGCAGTAGCAAAATGACAGTTATGAAGTAGCAATGCACTAATTTTATGTTTGGGGGTCACCACACCATGAGGAACCGTGTTAAAGGGTCACAGCATTAGGAAGTTTGAAAACCACTGACTCAGCAGAAAAGGACAACATACTTTGCAATAGTGTTCTTTATAAAAGGTTACTACAAAGATGTTACTATCCAAATTCCCGGAAAATTTAACATCCCTAAATTTCACTGTGATCATACTGTTGTTGAAGGAAACAGTGCCTGAACAACACACATCTGGCTCCTCTGGAAGGATGTGCAGCAAAGGGTACTTCAGAAAATGCTGTAAGACACCAGACCCCTCTTCAAAGGCCAGCCCCTCCCCCACTGCTCTGCTGGGAAGAAGGGCAGGCTGTATTTGGGGAGGCACGTGCAAAGGAGTTCACGTGCAAAGGAGTTGTTGAAGACTCTAGACACCTCCTCTCGATGGATGTCTCTTTCGGGGACAGGTCAGCTTGTGTCTCCTGTCCTTGTTACCTTGTTATCCTTACTCTAACCTCAAATCAGTTGCCATCACCGTTAGCATCTAAGAGGCAGACGCTAAAGCACCAGTCTTACATGGTAAGAACCATGTTCAAAACCAATGGGTAAAGCGGTAGAGCCTCTAAACTAAGGGGGAAAAACTTTAGCTTAATTAGAGAACACTGTATTTTCATAATTACTATTTCATTGTATGAAGTTCTCACTTGTCTTTAAAACTAAATTCCATCTTCCCTGAGAATAGGGTTAAGAGAAACATCAAAGCTCAGATGTCAAAGTCCCTTTAAAGACAACACAAAGTCTGTCTGATTACAGCGTCCTGCTGCACGCTGCTCCACTTCTCCACGACCGACTCTCATCTCCCTCGCACTCTGGGAACACAGGTGGAGATGGGCAAGGTGAGACAAGACACCGAGGAAGTGAGGAGCGTCACACGCTAGCTCTTCTTCCCGGATGGCAATGGCCGTGGACTGAGGCTGGAGTCCGAACCATTAATGCTGGTGTCCTATTGACAGGACAAGTGGGATGAGGCAGCCCAAAACCAGGGCTGCCACTTCAAGGCGGCTGAGGCCTCTCCCTCCAGTGGTGTCAGGTTTGTGGCTGTGCCCCATGCCGCCCACCTCGGGGAGGACATGGACGGTGGCAACATAAAGAAATGTCCCGGCAGAGAAAAGCATGGCCACTCCAGTGGCATTGACCTCTGAAAGGGCTTCTTTACTGCTCTGTGAATTAGAAGAGACAAGGAAAAAAGTCACATCAAAGTCAGAGACAGGAGGATGTCCCAACTAAATCTGAATGTTTATACCTGCTGCTGCTTGGTACATGGAGGCATCTTGAGACTGGAATTCTATCATTTATGGAAAAGTGTCACATAAAGGTCTAAGAACACCAGTGACAACATACAATCACAGCTTTAAAATTTAGTTAAAATTCACAATTTTCATTATACAGGTACTATGATTTGAGAAAAAAATGAAATAATAAAATCAAGCTAATTAACATCTATTACTTCAAATGTTTTTGCAGGGAAAACATTTAAAATTTACTCTTACCATTTTGAAATGAAAGCTATAATAACTACAGTTGCTTTTCAAAGCAACTTTCAAGTGTTGGCTGGTTGGGAGATTTCACTAATACCTCTGAGATGGAATCTTAGAATTTTAGGCATAATTCACCTGTTCTAATATTTAACAAGTATCCTCTGTGGACCAGGCTAGGTGCTTGAGACACAGACTAATCAAGATGCAACAGAGGCAGGTGGTTCTGTGAGTCTGAGGCCAGCCTGGTCTACACTGTGAGTTCCAGGACAGTCAGTGCTATGAAGAGAGACCCTTTCTCAAAAAAAACAAAAACAAAAACAAAACAAGATGTAATAGCTACCATCACAACACTTAAAATATATCCCATTCATTTGTAGTAGCTTTCTCAGACCACAGTCCCCAAATCATGACATGGAGACTTTTTTTTTTTTTTTTTTTTTGGTTTTTTGAGACAGGGTTTCTCTGTATCGTTTTGGAGGCTGTCCTGGAATCGGCTCTGTAGACCAGGCTGGCCTCGAACTCACAGAGATCTGCCTGCCTCTGCCTCCTGAGTGCTGGGATTAAAGGCGTGCGCCACCAACGCCCGGCGAGACTTATTATTAATTATGAACGCTCAGCCTTATCTTATGCTTGTCCCTCTAGCTCCTATAACTTAAATTTAACCCATTTTTCTTCGTCTATGTTTTTGCCTCAGGGTTTTTTTATTTTTACCTTTCTTTCATTTTGTATGTCCTACTTTTCCTGCTGCTTTTGTGTCTGGCTGACTGGCAGCTACTTAGTGTCTGCCTGGCTAAGCCAGGGCATCTCCCTTTCTTCCTCCCTTGTTCTCTCTTCCCCCCAGTCTACATTTCTCCTCCTACTTAATCTCTCTACCTGCCAGTCCTACCTATCCCTCTACTGCCTAGCTATTGGCCATTCAGCTTTTTATTAGGCCAATCAGGTGCCTTAGGCAGGCAGGGTAAAACAAATGCAATACATCTTTACATAGTTATATAAATACAGCATAAACAAATGCAACACATCTTTGCCTCGTTAAAAAGTAATATCCCACAACATTCACTAATCTGAATTTTGTTGTTTTTGATTATTTAAGACAGGTCTCATAGTATATATAATCTGCCTCGGCCTCCCAAGTGCTGGGATTACAGATACATGCCACCATACCTGTCATCACTTGCTCATCTTTATACAGCCAGTCACAGTCTTTAAAAAGAGTAGACCTGTGAGCCAAAGTCCCTGTTTAAAACTTCACAGACTTGCCCCAGACAGCATGTACCACCATACTTCTGAAATATCAGGAGTTTCTCATGGAAAGTTCAAAGGCACAGCAGTCGGTGTTTGAAAAGGAACTCTCAGGGCTGGGAGGTGGCTCAGAGGCAGAGTGTTTGCCCGGCATATGAAAGGCCCTGGGCTTAATCCTCAGTATCCTTTCAAGGCTCTCTGGGTGAATGAGAAGGCCCTGTGTAAGAACTCATCTGCTAGACTCAAGTTCAACAATCAACAGACACTGGTTAACAGAATCTAACCACTCATTAACCATTCATTTTCCATATATACTTTCATAAACCTTTTCCTTTTCTTCCTTGTTACTTTCTTAAATGAGAAAATAACAGAAAGGGAGGAAGAAAGAAAAAGATGTCTGGAGTTATAGTTCAGCAGGAGAGTGCTTGCTTAGACCTGGGTTCACTCTCACTACCACCAAGCAGCCAACCAACAAAAAACCAGAAGAGCCAACGTTCCTTTCAACACATTTATTGTTTCATATAAAGTTGAAGCAATGACCTTCTAAGGGGAATGGGGGTTCCTTCCAACCAGCCCTCGTTAGTTTGGTTCCATGATTTTCCTCACAGATTCTACTCACTGACATTTAGGTAAAATAGGAAGGAATGTTGCTATGGGCATAATTATAAGGCTTGGAAATGGAGTATGTGGGCTCTAAACTGAAAACTGACATTTCAAGCCTGAAGCTATGTTCAGGGATAAAGAACTAAAAGAACTGGAATCTCAGCTGCCTACAGCCATCTTTGTTCCAGCTCTACTCTGCTGTCAGCCACTGAATGGCTTGTCTTACTGCTTCCTTCCCGTGCCTGCCTCAGCAGTAAACACTGGATGGTCCTGACTTACTATTTACCTGTCAAACAAAATTAGCGTGGCTGGTTAAATGATACGATTTTGAATACTGAAATTCTACTACATATTTATGCAAATATTCTTAGAATATCAAAAATTTCCATTTATATGAATAAAATATTAAATTCATAAAAAGGACTAACTTGGAATTAAGACATTTATCTTATACAGATTTTTATTCCCAACTTTTGTCTGTCTTAGTTTGAGAAAATACCCTACCAGGTTTGTTGAGCCTTTGGATACTGTGACATAATGCCATCATCTACAATATTCATGTTAGACAACCATACAACTGAGTTAGCAATAAACATAATTAGATAAGATAAAATTTTAAAAATTACATCATGTTTCAGTAAGTTTATGGTTTTGTGTTGGGTCACAGTCACAGCTCTCAGCCCATACTTACCTTACTTAGTCCTAAGTATGTCAGCATGGACATGGCTGGTGCTGCCAATGCAAATACCAGCAAGTGCTTTCTAATTCGATTCCGCTCTAGACCAGCATGCATCAGGAAGGAAACCAGCCCAAATGCTGCTGGAGCCTGGAAATAACAAAGTAGCCCTTATTATCACTCAACAAGCAGGGCTAGCTTCCACGTAAAGAAATGCATGTGGTATCATCTGAATATGAACTCTAATAACAGAAACCTAGGCATCCCATCAAGGGTAAGCCTTGCGCTTTAGGAATCAATATTCTCACAAAGAAAACCCTGTGTGTGTGTGTGTGTGTGTGTGTATTTCTTGGTAATAGCATGCACAAAATTATTTTGAATTTTTAAATTCTTATTTATTTATTATTATTGTGTGTCTGTGTGTGTGTGTGTGTTGATCAGAGCACAACTTTTGAGAACTTGGGTTGTCAAACTTGCTTAGCAAGCACTTTTACTCACTGAACCATCTCGTCAGCTATGTGAACACATTTCTACAAAAAAATAGAAATTGAGGGCTGGAGAGATGGCTCAGTGGTTAAGAGCACTGGCTGTCCTTCCAAAGGTCCTGAGTTCAATTCCCAGCAACCAAATGGTAGCTCAAACCAACGACAATGGGATCCTGTTCCCTCTTTTGGCATGCAGGAGTATATGCAGACAGAGCACTCATATACATAAAATACAAAGTAAAACAAATCTTTAAAAAAATGGAAATCAGTAAGAATTTAGTCATTTGTGTATGAAACAAAAAAAAATAAAGCCCTTCAAATAGGATTTTAAGAAAATAAAAAAACTATGAACAAACATATTAATCCTCCTAAATGGATAGCAATTAAAAAACTTTAAAAAAGAAGGGGTAGGCCATCAAGATGCCTCTATGGGTCAAGGTGCTTGATGTGAAAGCCTTGAGACCAGAGTTCAAACCCCAGGACCCAGGTAAAGGTAAAAGGAGGAAGCAGACTTCACTAAGTTGCTCTCTGACTTTCTCATGCTAACAATGATATTACACACACATATAAATATATATAATGCCCATTACACACACATATAAATATATTTTTAGAAGCTAAAAAAAATCACATTTTAGAAATGCTTCAAGGACCAAGACAAATTTTAATAACGAATATGTTCAATATCCAATCTTGGCTTACCTTGTGTAGCATTATCGCCACAAACACAATTAGCTGGACACTAGTCTGTGAAGTAGAAGCTGCTGCTCCCAAAGCTACACCATCCGCTAAATTTGGAGACAGTGAAAAGAAGATGCTATGAAGGCCGGCAGTACAGGACTGAGAGCAGGGATTCCAAAGCCAGGCAGAGCTGGACTTGGTTCTGGGGAAGTTACTCAACCTCTGTGACCTTCATCTTTAAGATGGGTTCAATCAAACATGCATTTTTGGGTGTTTGTAGGGGCTAAAAATGAAAGAACATATGCAAAGATCTTAGCATCTGGCTCTGAGTAATCCATATGTTAGCTGTTTTTATTGTTTAAATAAAGTATGAAATGCCAACATCCATTGATGAGTCCAACTGTAATAATAGTAGTGCTAAAGAATTTCAAAGGGAGCATCTCTGTCTTCAAAACTTGAGGCCTCAACATAGATGACACACATGATGGGGACTGTCTTAGTTTGGGTTACTATTGCTGTGATGAAACACCATGACAAAGCAACCTGAAGAGAAAGGGTTTATTTAGCTTACAATCCCATTTCACTGTTCATCATTAAAGTTAGTCAGCACTGGAATCTAACGGGGCAGGAAACTGAAGGCAAGAGCTGATGTAGGGGCTATGCAGATGAGAGGAGCTGCTTACCGACTTGCTCCCCAAGGCTTGCTCAGTCTGCTTTCTTACAGAACCCAGGGTCACCAGCAAATGACTGCACCATTCATAATGGTCTGGGCCCTCCCCCATCAATCACTAATTAAGAAAATGCCCTATAGCCTGCTCTTATGGAGACATTTTCTCAGTTGAGGCTCCCTCCATTCAGATAACTCTAGCTATGTCAAGCTGACATAAAACTAGCCAAGACAGGGACTTTTGCTGAATGGGTGTGTCAGAACACAGTTTAGGGCTGGAGTTGTGTGAGGAGAATTCTGAGTGCTTGTGAGAAAACTCCAAGAAAGCAAGACAAGTCTTGTGATCTGTTTGTTCAAAGCATGGAACTGTCCTTGGAGTGTAGATTTTATTCTCTTTCCAAGTGTAGTAGATAGGTGTGAGTTTACTTCAGATTTCTCATTATTGTTTGCTATTGCTATTCAATTACATGTTTATCCCTTATCTGTCTCTACGGACATGTTTTTGTCATATGGGGCTTGTCCTTATGATTGTACACAGCCTTACCTCATGAGAACTTTTGCATATGTGTAAGTGTGTACAGGCGCTCATGCAAGCCAGCAGTGTCAGACCCCCTCGGAGCTGGAGTTAGAGGTAGTTGCAAGCTCCCTGATGTGAGTGCTGGGAATTGAACTCAGGTCCTCTAGAAGAGCAGTATGTGCTCTAAACCATTGAGCCATCTCTTCAGCACCATGTGACCCTTCTTAACCCTCAGAGTAAAACTGTCTGGGGCTCTGAAGAAAGCTGGCTATTGCATGAGACTTTAGTCTGCCACATTTATTGACTCCATTCTCCCAGGTCCCACCGCCTCTAGAGCATGACATGGGTGAATTTTGTTAGGAAATAAGAACAGGCTAGGAGTGAGCTCCTTTTCACATGCCTTTATTTGGTTCTGACAGAACCCTACCATCAGGTCTAGGTTTGGGTTGTGATGCTAAAGGAAGGCCCACCAGCAGTGCTGAGGCTTCTGCTTACCACCTCAGTCGACACTGGGCAGCAGGGCTGTTTGGTGTTCAAGTGCCCAGGCTCTTTTCCAGATAGATCTTATAACAGAGGTCAAGAAACTTCTTAAAGCACAGCATGAAATATTTGAACTTTGCAGGTTACCTGGCCTCTTGTAACTACTCAATTCTGTCACTACTATACAAAACAAGCCACAGGTTATATATAAACATGTGGGTACAGCTGTCTTCCAAAACAGCATTATTACTTTAAATACCTTAATTTTCCAATGACAAGAAACACCCTTTCTGTTTGGTGGTGCTGAGGATTGAACACAGGCCTTTCACACACTAGACAGATGTTTTACCACTGAGTACAGCCCAGACTCTTTTGAACAGGGTCTGGATGTACAGCTCAGGTTAATCCTGAACTCACTAAGTAGCTCAAGTTGGTCGTGAACCCTGGATCCTATTGCTTCCACTTCCTGGGTGCTTGGATTGCAGGTGTGTGCTCCCATGCCCACCTTATAATTTGTGTTTAGGTAGTAAAAATATAGAAATCGTTTTTTAGCTTGTAAACTTGACACAGGCATAACAGGGCTTGTGCTCGAGCTACAGGGCTTTGTTCAGCAACCTCCCAGGAGCATTTAGTGTGGAGCGGCTCAGGGCAATGCCACCTTACCTGCAGCGTGGACGACCAGCCCCAGTGTGGTAGTGATTTTGGAACTGCTAGGCCTTGCTGTTTCTGGATCTACATGAGAATGAGAAAGGATCACTAAGTAGTAGGACATAAAGCAACAGAAACATCTCTCTGGAGATGGTCCCTTTGTTATTATTATCATTGCTACTTAAGAACTGGAGCCTCCCTGTGCCGCCCTGGTTGGCCTTGAACTCAAAATGTCCCTGCCTCAGCTTCCCAGCAAAGGCAGCCACACCAGTCAAAACAAGAACAAAATCCTAATCCATCAAAGCCCATAGCTCTGGGAAGGTCTCTAAACATACTAACCTTGCTTTTTGGCTTCCGTAGTTCTGATTCTAGCTAACTGTTTTTGCCAACCGAGGTGTGTCAACCCAGGGCATGGTTTCTCACTCTGAGAAAGGCTTGGATACACTGGGGTCCTGAACACCCAGTGTAGTCACTCTCTGGCTAATAAAGACTTTCTATTGGCTTAAACCCATGTCTGAGTAGTCTTCTCTGGTGGATAAACCCAAAAAACTTTTTTTTAGGAATCTGGTTGTTCTGAGTTGTGCCCCAGAAACACTGGGAGATTTCTGAGACAATATCTGAAGTAGTCCAGGCTGGCTTCAAACTTGCTATGTAGTAGAGGCGGGCCTTCATCCTCCTGACCTCACCTCCCAAGTGCTAGGACTACAGACACGTAATGACACTTGGGAAGATTGAGTTCCTATCACAATTTTGGTTGCCCTCAAGGATGCTGATTACCAACCCCTGTAAAGATAGGTGTCTCTGTTCCAAATGTTATTCTCCCCAGAATGTGCTGTCTTTAGATGGCAGTTTAAACATTTCGTCCAGTTACAGTTTATAAACTATACAGTTTATAGTTAGCACAGGAGGCTGGACTGATGGCTTCCTGCTACACCAAAAGCTGACTGCTGGCGACACTCATCTTGAATCGTCTGGTCAAAGCACCTTTGGACTTCTTATTTACTTCTTTCCTCCCTGTATCTAATAAGTAGATCAGAATTTACTCACTGTCAAGTTTTTTTGCTTGGTTGGTTGGTTGGCTAGCTTTTAGATAGTGTTTTACTGTGTACCCCCTGGCTGGTCTGGAATTCAGTATGCAGAAGAAGATAGCCTCAAATTCTCTATTAGTGCTATGTACTAAGTTTATAAAGACCGACATTCCAGTCAGTGGGCTACAGGCTTTAGATTACCTAAGGGTTCCACAGCACAAAACAGATTAAGGACTTCTACCCTAGACTCTCATCCAAATGCGACTGCTTTAAACCCAGCAGTGTTGACATAACAATAAACAGTTATGCCATGCCACAACTCACTAGCTCCCCCAATGGAATAAAGGCCCCACAACACCTGAGGAAAACAAGTTTGGCATTAAGTAAGTAGAGCGAATCATTCAGTTGTTTGTAAATTTCCACACTGAAAAGTGCCTGCACAGCCCAGAAAGCCTGAGAGCTACTCACCATCAGTGGAATGCACATGGGAATTGCCAATCTGGTCCACTAACAACATGAAAACGAAGCCCAGTACAAGGGACACGCCTATGTAGGCATGCAGCTGTGTGTGGTTGTGGCTGTGGCTGTGCTCGTGTTCATGGACAACTGGTATTTCTGCTGCTTTGTCTGATGCAATCACATTCTGCTTGGTTTCACTGGCTTGGTGGTGTTTTCCTGAAGCAAACGAACCACAAAATGTAACAGCTTCCATTTGTGTTTTAAGTGCTACTTACTTTACTGCAAAGACATCTAATTCCTATATTGAAGTTGAGGCAACCCTTAACTCCTTAAGTTAAAAGGCTGTAATGAAAACATTCCCAAATGCCTTCTGCTTTTGGCGTGTAGACCTTCTGAATGCTTATCAACTCAAACTTCTGGACATGGAAGTAAATCACCATGCAAGAGTGTTGTCACATTCCAAAGGCCCCAATCCTACATCTTTCTCTTTCATCTGAGAAGCTCTTGCCAGACTCCTCAGAAAGCTTCACTCTGCTGAAACCAGATGAAGGCAGGACAGTGGCAATGAAAGCAACTGTAGTCAAATTCACACTTTTATACCTAGGTTGATACAAACTTTGCAAATAAAAAGCAAGCAGGATAGAAAATATTTAGCTTTTGTAAAATTATTAGTGAACACACACACATTCGTCCGCACCAATGAAGACACATATCCTTTCATTTAAATTAACTAGATCATCAAGGTGGTTGGGACACTAACATCCAACCAAGGGTATTCCTAATTTATAGTCACATGCTTGACGCTTCAAACATAAATGCTTAAAGACTAACTGTTCTTTTATTTTTAAAAAATTTATATATTTTGATTATATTCTTTTCACTCCTGCAACTCCTCCCAGGTCCTCCCCTCTGACCTACTCACCCAACTTCACATTCTTTCTCTCTAAACAAAACAAAGACAAACAAAAACAAAACACCCAACAATCAAAACAGACTAAAAGAAAAAGAAAATGAAGTCAACTACTATTTTAGGTTAGTCAACTACTCCTGGGAATGGGGGCTATCTTGGATTGTGGTTGATATGCTCAGTTTCCACTGGAGAAAATTAAAATTGTCCCTGTCCCAGAAGGTTTCAATTCCAAATAGCTTCTTGGTTAGGAGCAGAGGTGGGGCTCTGTGTCCACTTCCCCTTCTCACTGCTGGATTTGTCTGGTTTGAACACTATGGGTATAGCAATATATCATTACAAGTCATTTTATTGCTATGATCCTTTGGCAGAATAATAGTAAGCTTTCCCCTAGGCCCATGACCTATCTAGTCTCAGGTTCTTGGGTACTCTAGCAGTGTCAAGTATGGGTTCCATCTCCTGCAGTAGGTCTTAAATCCAATAAAAAAAAAATTACTGATTACCCCCATAACAAAGGTCAAAAGTCTTTGCATGTGTGTGCATGTGCTCAACTGTGTGTATGCATGAAGAGGTCAGAGGTAGACAACAGGTATCTTCCTCTATGGCTTTCCACTGTATTTTCTCCACTTATTTTTTGTAGGCGGAGGGGGGATTAATGCATGTGTTCCATGATGCACTTGAGGGGGTCAGAGGACAACTTGAGTGAGTTCTTTCCTTCCACTTTGTTGGCCCACCATCTTATTTTTGGAGTCAGGGTCTCTCACTGAGCTTGGAGCTTGCTGTCTTGGGTACAGTGGCTGGCTAGCAAGCTCCCAGGATTAGCTTACCCATCTATGCTCTACCCTCCAGTATCTCCCCTCCCAGTACGAGGGTTACACATACATACGACCATGACTGGCTCTAATTTTTTTGTTTGCTTGTTTTTGTTTTTACGAGACAGGGTTTCTCTGTGGCTTTGGAGGCTGTCGGTCCAGCCTGGCCTCGAACTCACAGAGATCCGCCTGCCTCTGCCTCCTGAGTGCTGGGATTAAAGGCGTGCACCACCGCCTGGCTCTAATTTTTTTATATATATTTATTTTATTTGATCAAGGTTTGTACCAAGCAAGGTTCCAGAAATCCTCTAAGGGAAAGCAGTGTGAAACAAGATCCGATTCCCTGGGTGGGCTGTGCATGAAGCCATGAGGGTAAAGCTTAAGTTGCAACAGTGTGTCACAGGTACTGGGAACACAAGCCATCTTCTGTCAAAAGCTGCAGCACTGAGTGGAGCCTGCACAAGAGAGGCCACAAAAGCTACAGAGGACAGAGCTGTGGAGCAGGGCTACATAAATCCACCGGAGCACAGGAAATGCCACCAAGAGTCCCAGTCATTGGACACTGAATGGCAGTCTCCGGTGCTTGGGTTTCTAGTTTGCTTTGATCTGATCTCTCCATAGTACGGAAAGTGGTTCTCAACATTCTGTGGTGTTCTGAATGGAACTGGCTCCATAATCTCATAGGGAGTGGCACTACTGGGCAGTGTGGTCTTGTTGGAGACAGCGTGTCACTGTGGGAGGGGGCCTTGAGGTCTCCTGTACAAGATATCCCCAGTGTCTCAATCTACTTCCTGTTGCCTGCATATCACCGTGTCTCCAGCCCGATGTCTGCCTGCATGCTACCACATCCTGTCATGATGATAAAGGAGTGACCTCTGAACTGTAAGCGAGCCACCACAGTTAAATGTTTTCCTTTATAAAAGTTGCCGTGGGCAAGGTGTCTCTTCACAGCAATTGAAACCTTAAATAAGACACCTTCCTAATGCTGAGACCCTTTAATACAGTTAGTTCTGCATGTTGTGACCCTCCATCCATAAAATTATTTTGTTCCACTTTATAACTGCAATTTTGCTACTGCTACGAACCATAACGTAAATATCTGATACACAGGGTATCTGATATACAACCCCCATGAAAGGGCTGTTTAACCCAAGTTGAGAACCACTGTTTCATAATATCTTGCAAATGTTTAATCTGTGCCACTGTAAACTAGGAGAGAAGTAATTTGTTTCTTATTCTGCAGGGGCTCACAGTTAAGAGACTGCCTTGGGTATCAGAGGAAACTGGTCTTTTAACAGTTTCAGAACTGCAGACTATGGGGACTTTTGAAGTCATATTGAACATTTTTTATACTATGAGATGACCATGAACTTATGAGGAGCAGGGGCAGGATGTGATGGTTGGAAGTTTGTTCCCTACAGGTTCATGTGTTTGAAGACTTGGTTCTTGGCCCTGGTGCTATTTTGGGAGGTTATGAGCCTTTAAGAGGTGAGTCCTTACTGAAAGAAATGGCTTGCTGGTACAAGCCTTATGGGTTATACCTCCGCCTGAATCTCTCTCTCCCCACTTCCTAATTGACAATGCAATGTACCAGTCATTCCACACTGCTGACACCATCGCTCTGAGTCACTCCTGCAGCCAGGTTTTTCCTGACACGATGGACATGATCCCCTTAAACCGTAACCCAAAATATCTCTCTCCCCTCAAGCTGGTTCTTCTCAGGAATTTGGTCACAGCAATGACCTTCCGACATGAAGATACCAGGCCCAGATAGTAAACCCACCAATAAACTCTACCAAACACTTAAAGAAAAAAATAACAGTTCAGTAATGTCTTCCAGAATATGGGCAACATGGGAATGTGTCAACTCTCTGAGTTCAAATCTCCAGTACCCATGTAAAAAGCCAGGCATGGTGCTGTGTGACTATTTTCCTGGCACTGGGGAGGCAGAGGTAGGAGGATCCCTGCAGCTCTTTGGTCACCCAGTTTAGCCAAACTGTGAATTCCTGGTTTAGTCAGAGACCTTGTCTCAAGAAATGAGGTTGAGATGTGATGAGATGGCAGAGTGGGCAGAGATGATTGCAAGAAAGCCTGATTCAATCTCCAGGACTTACATGGTAGAAGAGGAGAACTGACAACCACAAGCCACCCTCTGCCCTCTACACATGCACATAGTATGTGTGCCCACCCGTACTAAATAACAAATACATGTAAGAAGAAGAAAAGGTTCCAAGAGACAGAGGAGAGATCTAGCATCAACCTCTGGTTTCCATACTCACGTGTACACATATTAACACATACTCACATGCACACAAAATAAGAACAGATACACTGAAAAAGGCTGAAATCGCTCATTATTGCAAATGAATATTAAGTAGTCAATTATGGCATTCAAAAAACTGCTAAGGATGTGTTCAACGTTCAAGGTGCCTAAAGGTATCTCTTAAATGCCCTGTCTAGGACAAACATGAACTGTATCCAGGAGAAATTCCACTAATTGCTCTACCAACAGTCCTTAATGAGGTCTTTCTCTCACCCTCCAGAACCTCTTCATAGAGCGCATGCACCCCTTCAGGTACAATAACTGCCAGTGCAGTTCCACAGAGGAGACCAGCACCCAACACAGTCACCAGCTTCAGCCGTTCCTGGAAAAACAACATAACAAATGATTAGAACAGTGCTTCTCAACCTTCCTAACGCTGCAACCCTTTAACGCACTTCCTTAGTGACCCCCAACCATAAAATTATTTTTGTTGCTATTTCATAACCCTAATTTTGGTACTATTAGGAATCATAATGGAAATATTTGTATTTTCCTATGGCCTAGACAACCTCTATGAAAGTCACTCAACCCCCTACAGGGGTTGCAACCCACAGGTTGAGAACTGCTATATCAGAAAGACTGACTGATGAATGGGGAACATTTTCTATTCATGAAATCAACAGCCACAATGGTCAGTAAGCTTGGGAAATGGTTGACTTCATAAATAATACTAGTTAAAGGATGAGAGGCTGGGCATACTGGCTTCTGAGGAGGCTGGTGGAGGAGGACTGCTTGGGCCCAGAAGTCTCAAACAACCTAGGTAACACAACAGGACCATGACTTCTTTATTTCTTGAGAGGCAGGATTTTGTGCAGCCCAGGCTGGTATCAAACTTGACAATGAAGTTAAGGATGACCTTGTTGCAGAATATTTGGCCACACCGTGAACACCAAGATGGTGTTATTTACTAGAAAAACCCATTTCTAGTTGTGATGTGGCTCAGCCCTAACACACACCTTTAATCTAAGAGCTTTCTGCTAGAATATTGTAAACTGGATTAAATAAAGTCAATCATAAATTAGGAGGCAGAGCAAGCAACCAGTTGACAGGAAAAAACCATGGAGAGTAAGAGGAGGTCAGGAGGACAGACACAGAGATGCACAGGAGAAGAGAGGGACACTCAGTCTGAGTTTTTATTTGAGAAAGCTCTTTCTGGGATGTTGGCAGAGGAGGAAGGCTAGCCAGGTGCTTTCTCTGCCTCTCTGTGCTAGCAGGTTTTCACCCTAGCATCTGGCTCCTGAGTCTTTAGTGGTAAAACTGAATGATTGAGATTTAGATTAAGACAACATGACCTTGAGTTTATGCTCCTCCTGCCTCTATCTCCTAAATGCTGAGATTACAAGCAAGAGAGAGATCTACACAATGAATCTAGTTTTATGCAGTGCTGGGGGCCAAACTGAGGGCTTCATGCATTCTAGGTGAGCACTCTATCTGCTGAACCACATCCCCACTCCGTTTGCTTGTTTTTATAAATAATTTTTGTAAACTAATTTTCACTAGTTAAAAATGTGCATATAAAGTAATGGATCTCATTACGGCATTGAACCACTGAGTCATTGCTCCAGCCCATGGCATTTAACGTATTTTGAGCATATGTCCCTTCCCCATGTCACTCTCACTAGTCCCTTTCCTTTTCCCCTGCCACTTTCCAGTCTTTTTTCTCTTTTTAATGATCCAGTGAGTTTCACTAGGGTAGGCTACAGGAGATGGGTGAGGGTCTGTTTACAGAAGCATAAGCACTTCACCAGTGGCTGCACCACCGAAGAAAATGTCTCCTCTGGCTGGAGAGATGATTCAGCTATTAAGAGCACTGGCTGCTCTTCCAGAGGATATGGGTTCAATTCCCAGCACCCACATGGCAGCTCACAGCTATCTGTAACTTCAGTTCTGGGGCATCTGACCCCTTCTTTTGGCCTCTGTGGGCACTGCACACATGTGGTGCACAGATATACATGTAAGCAAAACACATTTTTTTAAGGGAATGTTTCTTCCTCCCCCATTAGCCATTAGCTTCCTCAGGGAGTAATAAGGTCTTACACCGGCCTGATCAGAAACTACCAACCTGAGCAGTCTTTGAACCTACAGCAATCCTGTAGGCATTTTGACGGATCGGGTAGGACAGGTATTCCGGCATTCGGGAGTCACAGAATACTGAGTGTTACACAGCTCAGATGGAAAGGAATCCTGGAGCGTGGGAGCCAAGGACTACCACAGGCCGCAGTAAGTGTGGCAGTTTACAGCCCTGCCTCAGGGAAAGGCTTCCCCCATGTATTGGCTCTACTCCAGCAGGAGAGGGTCTTCCAGCTGGGGATGTTTGCCCAGTGTAGCAGTTTTGCTCAGGCAGGAGAAGGTTTCCTGGGCTTCGGGAGAGTGGAGAGCCGAGTGTAACAACTCAGCTCTGCCAGGGGAAGGTTTCCCCAGCAAGTGTTACAGCCCTGCTCGCTCTGCTCTCCCCAAGGTCACCTCTGTTCTGCCTCAAAAAGTCTTCACCCAAAGCTCACCCAAGGGGTTTATTGGGAGGGAAGAATCTAGGAGAGTGGCAGAGGGCAGCCAGGTAGCACCAACAGCCACAACTTGAACAGACATAGGGTTTATATAGGGCTTCCAGGGTGGGGATTGGTCAGACTTTAGTGCTGAGCTCAGATTGGCTAGAGCTCCTGCTCAAGGATTGGTTAGTTTTCTGCACAGGGTTAGGGTCAGATTTGGCTCTAAAGTGTATTTCTTTCTCTAGTCCTTTTTAGCCTTTTGGCTCTAGTTTTAAGGCCAGGGTGTATTTCTTTCACTGGCTCTGATTCCAGGGACAAAGTGTGTTTCTTTGGCTGGTCCTTTTCCCCTACAAATCCTACCTCAGTCTCCTAACTGCTGGGATTACAAGAATCAGCCAGTGAAGTGAGACCTTAATCCTTGAAGCAAAAAAAGAAAGTTGGTAATGGTGTAGGGAAACATTTACTATTCATGAATAGGACAATGGGTGCATTTCTCTAAACTTGACAGGAGTGTGAACTGCTACAACTTATTTGTATCACAATTTGAGGTTTTAGGCTTAAACTCTTGAGCTGATGACTCAGTGGGTAAGAGAACTTGTGCAAGTATTCTGGTTCAGGTTGAAATCCCAGCAACTATGTAAAAAACTGGACCTGGCTATGTGCCTGCCTGTAACCCCAATGCTGTGGGGAAGTAGAGAAGGGTCACGGGTTTGCTGGCAGCCAGCCTAACTCCAGGTTCAGTAGGAGACCCAGTCTCAAACGAATAAGGCAGAGTGACAGAGCAGGACACCTGGTGTCTTCCTCTAGCATCCACATGTACACATGGATGCATACAGCAACTTTACACATGTACATATACCAGATACACATACAACATTCTTCCACGCATGCATACACACACACTCAAAACTAAAAAGTGAATTTTTGCTCAGGCTCTCTCCACTCCCCGGCTCCCCCATGCCCCTACCCTCCCACCCAAATCTCCTTTCCCGTAAATCAAGTGAAATCTTTGATCTACAAACTTCACTCCTAGAAATTCACCCAAAGAAAGAATTAATCAAAAGTGAACAGATACTTATGAAGAGTTCAAACTTAATTTAAACTAAGTATCCAAGAAAGGACAGCAACACTGTACCTATGCCACAAAAATTTTGAGATCAGTGTCTAGTCATGAGTTCAGAAAGTCATGACATATTGGTATGATAAAAGGATGATAATGTATACTGATAAACTCATATTTGTGAGAAAAAGTATTTATAGATGTATTTATTAAAAAGTATTTATAATTACTTCTCCAACTGATGCAATAAAATACTGGACAATAGCAACATAAGCAAGGGAAAGAAAGTTTATCTTTGTTCACAATTGACAGTACAGTCTACCATGACAGGGCAGTTAAGGCAACAGGAGCTCGAAGCAGAGTTAACATCACATTTACAACCAGGAAGTAGAGAGATCCGCTCACTTTCTCTTTATACAATTCAGATTGGTGGCCTACAGTAGGCAGGTCTCCCCAACTCAATTAACCTAATCAAGATAATCTACCAGTGTCATTCCCAGAGGCCCATCTCCAGGACCATTCTGAACCTCAGTTGAAAACTGAGATTAACAATCACAATACATAAACATAAGCATAGGCTAAATATAACAAATTTTGCTTCATAAGGTATAAAGAGCATACAGTATATAATTATATATAATTTATAAAAACACATGAAAAAGTAAATTTAGGTATCAATACTAACATGGTTCTGTGGATTTTGCTCCATTTTCTTTGTGTTTGTGTGTACACATGTGTATGTATGGATGTACATGCAGAGCAGATCAACACCAAGTGTCTTCTCCTCCACCTTATTTTTTGAGACGGAGTCATGCTTGAAGAGTACCCAACCAAGGTTTATAGCAGCCACATTAGGCAGCTCACATACACCTGTAACTTTAGTTCCAGGTGACCCCAATATCTTCTGGCCTCCTCAGATGTACACAGACACAGACACACACACACACAGACACACACACACATGAAAATGAATACTGTTAGAATGCAGTGAGTGCACGGCCGGGCAGTAGTCGCACACGCCTTTAATCCCAGCACTCGGGAGGCAGAGGCAGGCGGATCTCTGTGAGTTCGAGGCCGGGCTGGACCGACAGCCTCCAAAATAATACAGAGAAACCCTGTCTCGTAAAAACCAAAAAAAAAAAAAAAAAAAAAAAAAAGAATGAATGCAGTGAGTGCTGGGACAACACTACCTACCTCAGTCTGCTTCAGATCCAGCATCTGTCTCTACTGCAAATGAGTGACACTTCACCTTCTCCACCTGCTTTACGTTGCTATTCTCTCACAGATGTTATTATAGGACACTCCCCAGTGAAGTTCTACACACAAATCTCAGAGTGGATTTTCTGGGGAACCCACTTAAGTCACTGAGAGAAGATTTGTATTTCAGGCACAAAGAACATCACAACTCAATACCCAGAGACAAACAGCTTGGTAAAAAGTCAGTAAAACTTCATAGAGGATATAAATGACCAGAAAGCCCATAAAATACTCAAAATTTAATTACCAGGAAAATGCAAATAAAAACTTATGTGAGACTTTTCATATCCATTTTTAAAAATCCAAAATTAGAAAAAAATCACAGCACTAAATAATAGCAAGGATATAAAGTAACTGAAACCTTCATCTATTGCTGGGACCATATAATGAAGGCAGTGTCTTAACAAGTTTAACCAGCATTCCCTTTTTTGGAAGTTACCAAAGAGAAATGGAAAAAAAAAAACTTGTACAAGAATGATCATGGGCTGGAGAGACAGCTCACTGGTTAAGAACACTGGT